TCATGGTGAGGGGAGCTCAAAGACCAGAGATTGGCATCAGCAGATCGTAGGGCACGGGTGGGGGTGTGGTGGCAGAGGAGCTCAGAGATGTAGGTGGGGGCCACGTTATGGAGGGACTTGGAGCTTGAACTGGATGCGCTGAGGGATGGGGAGGCAGTGGTGATTTCTGAGGACAAGGGTGAGGAGGCAGGTGGAGCTCTGGATGTACTGAAGTCTATTGAGAGTTTGGAGGGTAAACCATAGAGCAGGTCATTACAGTAGTCGAGGCAGGAGGTGACAAAGGCATGGATGAGACCTTCACCAGACTGAGGGGTGAGGCATGAGCAGAGAAAGAATACACTAAATTAAAAATGTTCATTGTTAGGTATCTTTTATGTACCAAAATAAAACAAATTAAATGAAGTGCCAGAGTAGCAATCTTATTTCAAAATAATCATGACCCTCGTGACTCCCTGTGTAGTTTAAGGTTTGATCTATAACTTGTCACCCACTGTGTTCTTGGGCTCTTCACCCATCTTGCAGAATACATGGATTATCTGCTTCAAAATATTTATTATATTACATATCTTTCATACACATTTGACAAGTATGTGTTCTTTTTTATTTATTACAGTATGTATTCAATGTTTTATCGTTTTATGTCTCATTTACAACAAGAAGTACATAAAATGCAACAGTAAAACACATGCTGCTTTTATTTTATTTCTGTGAGCTTTTAAAGTGATAAAAAAAAATTAGCTCAGTTGTCATAACAAAGAACACATTTATAATAAAATGTTTTATCTTTTGAATGGTGACAGTCTTTCAAAATGGCACCTATAAACATGAAGCTGAAGCCCATTGAACTGAATATCCAAAACATTTTCTATTGCTTGCAAATATGTATTTCGAGTCTATCAAGCTCTATTCTGTATAATATTTTAATCTCGCGTCTCATCAGTTTGATTTCTACACACGCAAATGCTTTAAAAGTGAATTTTTTTACCCTGCTGTCTCATCTTTTTAGCCTTAACTCTCCCCTGCTCTCATCTCCACAGCTCTAAGTGAATGTTTTGCAAAAGATCTCTTTACAAACTGCTGGCCTGATCCTCACTCAAGGCCAAAGACATTTGGTTTTGGAGATATACACGACGAGACAAGATAAAGGTTCAAAGTTTGATTCGTAGCTGCTCACCCATTGTGTCCTTGAGCAATGCATTTCTACCACTTTTCACGTTGCAAAATACATGACTAAAATGACAAAAAGGTATTATCTTGCTACTTGAAATATCAAATTAGAGTTACATAACTTTTTTTTTTTGCACATTACAACTTGACAATGTGTGATGACTACGGGCTGTAAAAGATATGTAATCATTTGTATTGTATTTCTGTGACAAAACATATTCATGCGTTTAAAATAATTACCGTTGCTATAGCAAATAACAACTCCAGATATTCTATCTTTTAAATCAGTGATACTCACTTTTTTTTTTCACAAGAGCCACATTGGAAGAGCAAAATCAAAAGGAGAGTCACCCAACATACACCAACATACCAAGTCACCTTTGCAAATTTCTACATATAAATTGGACATTTTCAGTTAATACCATATGTACCTTAACACTGGGATGAGCAGAATCTGACATGCATTATTACTATTACTAATCTGCATAAATAAACTCAACTTTACAACATATAAACCATAACCACTATAGAGCCACATCCGCCCATTTGACATTATAATGTGTTTGAACATATTTGTTTACATTTTACAGAAATGAAACTAAAAACCGCATGGCTCATTTGCATAAACTGTAAAGGCTGGAAAAAATACAGCTCTTTCCTTGTGCACTGATACGTCAGCTTCTGTCAGACTAAAGGACACATCTCAGTGGAATATGAGTGTTCTTTATGTGACAGAGGGATGTGCTGCTCATGGCGAGTCTGTTCTGTGCGTTGGAGATGGTTCATAGTTTCAGAGATCATATGTGTGCAGGTCATACGAGTGCAGACTGTACATGCGCAGGTTTAGTGCAGCTCTTTAATTAACATCATTTCACTCACTTTATTTATGCTGGTCACTTTATTTAGATGATGTTAATCAAGAGCATGGACTACTTTTTAAAATGTGGGTCAGGCAGTGGGTCGAGTGCAATATTTTCAAATATTTTTTATGAGAGTTGCGGGTGGGTTAGTTGAAAATGTCGGTCGAGTACGGGTTGTTGTTGTTGTTTATACATGGACCCGCGCATCACTGGTTGCTAGTGTCATGGCGCCCCACTTAGTGTAATGCAGATGTTTGTGTTGCAGTGTTCACTATATATTTATCTAGCACATATGAAAAAATATATTGGCTGTGTTACTATTTTTGCGAGCCACCAATTAAAGCTTGGTGAGCCGTTTGTGTCTCGCGAGCTGCGCAGTGAGTATCCCTTTTATAAATGGCGAAAAGTTCTCAAAATGGCTTGTGATGCTTCTATGATACCAAACCACTTTTTATTGCTTGCAAATATGCACGAGTCTGTATAATATTTTAATCATCATCATCAGTTTGATTTCTACATACACAAACGCTTTAGAAGTGAATTTTTTAACGTGCTGCCTCATCTTTTTGGCCTTAACTCTCAACTGCTCTTCTCCACATCTCCACAGCTCTAAGTGAATGTTTTGCGAAAGATCTCTTTACAAACCGCTGGCCTGATACTCACTCAAGGCTAAAGACATTCGGTAATCCTTGAGATCCTGAGTTGGCTCTTTCTCTGTAATAGCCCGGGATTGATTTGAGAATAGAGTTAAGTCTCCAACATCTTAACATTCAAAAAGTCTGCTCGGTGCGCACACATATCATCTATTATGCTTCGTAATGAATCACTTGACCTTCACTTATCAGCAATGCCCCACACAAACCAATGCACCAAAGTATATCTGCAAGGTATTCGCTATGAAAAAAGACAGACGGTTTTCTTTGTTGTTTCATCACATCATGTATTCTTAACAGGTCATAAGAAGTGCTATTGAAAATCTTTAGAGTTCAACAAGTGGAGAAGAATGGATTTGAACCAATGACTGTGTAACATGGCCTCTCATTGATCACTAACTATTGAAATTATATCACTGTATTAAATTAGCTTTTTTGAATTCTTATAGATGGGTCATTGCTATTATATCTATGTAGACTTTGCGTTGCATTGCATTATTACTCAATTCCGATTCTTAACTCAATACTGATTCCAATCCCACAATGATAATAAAAAACCCTATTTATTTAGACAATAGAAGGTGTTTTTCAGCATTAAATCAAACAGTTGACTTTCCAGCTTCAGAAAGTTCCATGCGATCGCTTTAATTCAAATTTCAAGTGAATATTTTGCCAAAGATTACTCTCAAATTGATGCTAAATCTACTTGAGTTAAGTGAAGCAAAATGTCAGATCAGTAAAGGGCACCTGAGAACTACTATATCAGGGGTCACCAAACTTTTTTCTCTGGGGGCCACATTATCGCTTCTGACTGTCATGGGGGTCGGGTCGACTGAAAGACAAAATTGTATGACCCTGACAACGCAGATTATATTCTTTGAAAACCATCAGACTTTCTTTACATATCAGACAAACTGCACAGTCCTTACACTGAACAAAAAAATAATCGGTCATCCACTGTTCTTTGAAAACTCAATATTCTCTGTCAACTTTTCATACTTTAACACTCGTCATTTTGCTGTCCTTAACTGCACTCCAGATCTCTGCGCGTGCATTGACTGTCACTGTTTGATCTCAAGCTTGTCAGGTGATGAAAATTCAGCAGCAAATGTAAATATGCCATAATTATTTAAATATAAATATAAATACTTCATATAAATGTCATTTTTTAATTGAAAAAATCAACAAAATACAAGATGCAGACGTGTTATTTTTTGCCAAAAGGCAATTTAAAAAAATAGGACATGACTGCCTCATAGGTCCAGTTCAAGTGGTGGGGGGCAGGGGGGCTCTGGAGCCGGAGGGCCGGACAAAGGGGCCTAGAGGGCCGCGAGCCTTATTTTGATGACTCCTGTATTATATCTTGTGAACAGTAGAGGTGTAACGATATCCAAGTCTCACGATACGATATCGTCATGGTATGAACCTCACAGTACGATATTTATTGTGATATCGTGGAAAAGCTCATAATATGGCGAGGAGGCTCATGATTAGGGATGTAACAATATCCAAATCTCTCAGTACAATATTTTCATGATATACATCTCATGGTATGATATTTATTGTGATATTTTGAAGAGGCAAACAAAACTGTTAATATGCTTTTTCCTATTAAAATGCCTTGACAAGGCTTAATCCAAAGAACAAAGACTTAAAAGTGCTTAGAACTGTTATTTCTTCTTGTAGTCTACACTGAAATAGAGCAAAGGATCATGGTCTATGTAGTTCTGTCTTTTTTTAGCTATTTCTGCACCTGCAATTCTTAATTTAAGAAAAGAGACTTGTAATTCGATATATTGTGATGGTCCACGATATTATTGTGAGAACTTTGACGATATGATATCACGATATTTCGGTTATTGTTACATCCCAAGTGTTGAAAACGTTTTTTACTTTCTCAAATTTTTGTGTTAAAATGTTACTTTACTACTGAACATTTAAAAATGTCTAAATGTAAAGAGGTCCTATTTTCAGTGTCAGTGTTTTCTTGAATGTGTACATAAAGTTAAAAACTCCAAAAAGTAAATATATGCTAGATCAGATGTGCTGTAAATTTTCTGGTGGAGAATTTACCAAAGAAATGTTTATTTCTTTGTCTTTAATGTTTCATAGTATGGCTTTAAACCTGTCTATCTCCATGGAGACAAATGGAATCAGACTTAGTTACAGGTCAGATCTATGAGTTAGTCTGCCCACTCACAGAATACATGTTTTTCAAGTTATTTCATTTGCAACATACTGTAGAACTGAATACGATTAAAGTTTGATACCATAGAATAAAAAGTGACTGATTGTCTATGTTTTTTTTTTTTTCTTTCAGATCTTCATTTTTGAGAACAACATTTATTTCCGCTCCAAAGTTGAGAGCCGCTCGATTCGTCTGGTGTCCACGGGGAAAGAAGGCGTGATCTTCAATGGCCTCAGTGACTGGCTGTACGAAGGTAGGAGCACAGCTGTCAGTGGATGTGCCTGGGTTTTAGAGGGAGGTACTTTGAGTTTTATGGTCAGTACAGAAGCTTATGTTGGCACAGGCGAGTGGAGTTGTGCTTTATAGATTTTCTAATATACGTAAATCAATGTTATCTTAAGAAGGCATTTTAGTGCACACTTAATTGGATGTATTTGCCACAATGCAGTACCAAGACTTCTTTTTGTGGGTAAAAAAAGAGAATTGCCGTTTCATTCATCCCCAACAAACGTTCCAGCTCTAAAACTCTATCAGTGGGTTTCAAGAACCATGATTCAAAAGTCCTCTAAATGGCATCCATAACTAGAAAAAGTTCCATAAGCCCATAAATTCATCTGTGTACAATAATTCATCTGTGTACAATAATGGCAACTTATAGTATTATTTACTCCAAAAACAAAATCAAATTTGCATTACCGTGTTTCCAAGTTTATCAGTGTAACTCAGTGGAGATGTTATTGCTTTTTGGAATCTTCTGCAATATGGCATTAAACATATCTTGCATTTATTCAAGTACACTTACTGCTAAAAATACTTGTGGCGTCATCTTGTTGTTTCCATGGGGATAGATAAGTTTCATGCCATACTGTGAAACGTGGTTATATAAGTGGAAAATTACACTGCTTCCATGGAAAACTGTATCTTTGTTTCTCAGTGGAGACGTTATTACATTGCCTGGAATGTTCCACAGTAGAGCATTAAACATATAATAGTTACAGGTAGGGGTGTAACGGTACAGTACAGAATCTCCAGACTTACTGCAGATAATGTGGACAAACTGTTTTTTCTGGCCAAAAATATGAAGACTGAGTAAAACTTCATCCTTGAACTGTTAATGCTGCACTTTACTTTATGAAATGTTTTGTTTACTGCTTAGAAGGAATTTATTTTTTATAATATTTCATACATTTGTTGCTTATTTGAGAGTCTTTTATTTAACTTATTAGTATTACCAAACAGCACTTTCCATTTATTTTATTTTCCTGCTTGCATAATATTAAAACAAATTGTGGTTTAATAAAAAAAAACAACAACACACAAATAAACAACAAGCAATGATATTCCATTTTGTTCCCATACTGTGCTGAAAATAACAGGCATTGTTGTTGTTAAAAAAAATACTTCTCGTCAACTTCGTCCATGGGCATAGCTAAGTTTAATGTCATACTGCGGAACATTCCAAGCAGGTGGTGGCCTCTATTCCAGACAAGTTAGGCAGACCATCTCCAACATGCTATTTGATAATTCCGTGTTTCATTAGATTTCAGTTATACCAACCATCTTACTGTATTGCGTCACATAGCGTAGCAGCGAGCACACCTATATAACATTAGTATTCTTGTTCAAACACGGTTCACGTTATTTTAATATAATATATAGCCTTCAGTTTCACTTCTCATCAGTTATTTCCGAGCTCAGACTGTCTGGAGAATACTCTTAAAGTGCCTATTGACTTAAACTGGCCCTGTGCTTTCAGAGTCACATGACCACAGTCCAGCTCATTAAGTCCACAGAGCAGATGCAGTAATTACAGCAGACAGTCCTCCCAGTGCTCCTCTCTCATCACTGCACCGTCTAACCATAGCAACAAGCTCCACCGGCTCTGGCTCTGTATCACTCTTAAAAATGAATTCATGGTTTTTGTATGTGAACATTTTTTTGGTAATTTGGAAGTGCTGAGTCACATGTCACGGTGGATCAACGATTTAGTATTTGATTTTAAAGGGCCCATATTACGCTATTTTCTGCTATAATGTTGTTTCCTCATCACAAACAGACCTGGACAAGGGCGTAGGCTTTATGAATAATTTTCAAAAACACACAAGAGTCTGGGCAGGTCCAAAATAAGTGACGGGTGGTTTCATTTTTCAGTTCACAAAATGTACAGTTTGTGTCCATTTCCCTTGTAAGATGATTCTTTATCAGGTAACAGCGATATAGATGTTTGTAGCAGATTTCCCTTTGTTTGTTGGTGATGAGATATTTGTGAGGTAACGATTGTACATTTTTTTCTTGGAATATTGTCAATAGAGCAACTCATTATAAGGCAAGTTTAATTGAAGATGAAGCCAAGTAAGTTCCTTTTGAAAAGTTTTTCAAAGTTTGATGCGCAGCGTCTTCACTCACGTCTGCTCAAGCCATCATCTTCGGGTGCTGGCCCTGTACTGCCGCTTCCCCAGTTTCGGCTCCTGGCACCACTAACGACATCACTCTGTTGCAGCCAATGAAATAGCAGCAGGCCCTGTCATCATATCACTGAATACATCTCAGAACATCTAATAAACAAAATGTGAACTAAAACATGTTAAATTAATACTATTGAGTTTGGAAAAATATCTGAATAAATTAATATTTTTGTTTATTAAAATAAAATGGCAAATATTGGTAGGGATTATTTTGTCTTCCCCAAATATTGGTTGTGACATGTCCCCACTGTCCTTATGTAAACCTACGCCCTTGTACCTGGAGTTGTGTTTTGTTTTATTCACACACTCCATACCCTGTATATTTAGGCTGAGTTCTTGTCTCAAACAGAAAATATTCTGTTCCACCTTGTGATGTCATGTGGTAATACAGGAAGTGCTCCACGGTGTTTTTAAACTCCATACATTTTCACAAGAATCATTTGGATATTTTCGGTGTTGGAGTTGCCCATCTGTACTGAATAAAAGGTAAAACGTAGGAGTAATAATGCAGGATTATTCAAACATGTGTGAATGAAACAAAACACAACTCTAGGTTTGTTTCTGATGAGGAAACAAGATGGCTCAAAACTCACATGAGTCTACTTTGTGTAATTTAGGACCTTTAAAATGTATCTGTTCTGAGTACACGTTATAAAAACTCCATTAACTTTAACATTTGAGAGATAGACTGAGATATGAAATGTTAAATTAATACAAGAATCCCATGCATTTCAGAACATGTTTGAAGAGGTCAAACTCCAGCATGATTTTTTTCTGTGCAGTGGGCATTCTAATATCTAAATAAGTGCAGCTTTTGCGATATAATAATTGCTCCAACTCAAAGGGCCTTTTAAAATGTATTGGCCAAAGTCTCATTCAAACCGTTTATTCATTCCTTTTGAGAGACAAGCTGTTTAATCTTTTAATACGAAGCAGTTCATTTAGGAATCTCTCTTTTCTAATAGTGACCAACCCCCCATGGCCATCTTTAAACTGCTCACAAAATTAGAGACTGGGGTAGTATTTCCTTGGTGTTAAAATGCAAACAGAATTAGAATCTTCAAATGTTTTCCCCTTTTCTACAAATACATATACTGCATCCTGTGCATTAAATTGGACTCTAAGTGCTATGGGCAAGTTCTGTTAAAGGGCCTCTATTATACACAATTGACTCTTGTGAGCTTTAAGACATGTTATAATGTTGTATCCTCTCCAAAAACAGACCTGGAGTTGTGATTTGTTTTATTCAGACATGTTTGAGTGATCGTTTATTATTAGTCTGTCTATATCTCCAAAGCTCAACATGCTCTGTTCCACCTTGTGATGTCATGAAGCGCTTTTTTTAACTTTTGTTCAGTAGAGGTCTTCAATTCCACAGCTGAAATTATCCAAATGATTCTAGTGAATGTGTATGGAGTTTAAAAACACAATGGAGCATGATATTACAAGGTGGAACCAAGTGTTTTTAGTTTGAGGCTACGTTTATATGATGACGGTCTGAACAGAAGGCGTAAAAGTGGCGTCGAGCCTTCACTTTTTATTCCGCATTTAGATGAGCGTTTTTGGGAGGAAATCTGCGTGCATACGGTGACGCAAAAGTGTGTGGAATTCGATTGGGTTTGCATGCCAGCTTTCTGTGTACTGTATGTATGTGACGTGAACACATACGCGATCTGACCAGAGTTTTGCGTCTTGGGCAATGTAGACGGAAACGCTACAGTGGAGCGTATTCAACTTTTCCACTCTGGAAGGTGGTTTCAGATTTTTGCATTTTTAAGCCCCAAAAACGTCATCAACGTCTAAACAAAAAGCACTTTGGATAAAATATTTTTGTCGTTTTTAGCTGCTAGTTTTCACGTGCAAACAGGCCCTAAATATGCAGTGTTTGCGTGTTAAACATGTGAGTAAAACAAAACACAACTCCAGGTCTATTTTTGATGAGGAAACAACATTATAACATAGATCAGAAAATAGCATAATAAAGGCCCTTTAAAGTTAAGTTTGCACATTATCTTGGTACTGCAGTGATAAAAATAATAATAATAAAAATACAGGTTTAAATAAAAATGTAATATTTTTTTAAACCTGCAGTATGCAACCAAAGAAAAACATCCGTCCTTACTGGGAGCGGGCTTGCATCTCCACAGACCTGACTCATATTTGACCTCTTGCCTGTTTCTACAGAAATGTTGTTCCTTTTTCTTCTATCTATCTATTTATCTCCACAGAGAATGTTACAAAATGTGGTTTTAACTTTCTATTTCCATGGAATCGTTCGGATGATGCACAAACTCCGGAAAGTTACACACTGTACATTTAAATGTTGTCAAAATAAGGAACGAATAAAGTTTTCTTGAGCAATAGTTTCTACTTTAGACCACCATGTGCGGAGCAAATTTACCCACAATGCCTCCTGCTCCATCTCCTTCGGTTCAGGAGTTTCCGTATCAAATCAAACGGGAGATAGGAGCAGCTTTTCGGATCCAGATAGCACCGATGCAGACAGCTCCTGATACAAAACAAGCTGTTATTCCCCATTAGCCCATCCAGCACTGTCTTATCTGTGATACTGTTAGCGATATAGGAAACAGTGGTGGGGTCACGCAAGGCCAAAAACAGCTGCTACTTTAATATATGACTTTAACTCATCTTATCTGTGCATTAGCTTTCCCCACACATAAAGCCACTTTCATTTTTCAAAAGCAGAATCCAATCTGTCCCTTTTAAACATTAATCAGAGCGATATTGGAAAGACTGACCTGGTGCCATGTATTTATGGGCTACAGCG